TAAACATTCCACAAATAATAACAGAAATATGTCACTATAGCAGGCTATGGTGACCATAGTAAAATAATTGTTCTGTGAATAATTATTGCAAATCTGAATTACAGGTAACCAATCATTAGAATCCCTAAATTTAAGACTTTTTAAATTTTTTCTTGGTTTGTTCATAAAAAGATATGGCCGTCACGGTAGTTCAGTTGATAGAGCCCTCGCCCCGTGACTGATTCGGCACTTTGAAGCGAAAATTGCGGGTCTTTCGGATGAGGCCCTAAAAGCTGAGGCGTTGACACGAAAAAGGTCCCTCACTGGTCATGGCCCTTAGTGCCAAGTTAAAATCTAAATTTGAAGACCTTCACCAGTTTCTGTTGACGTCTCTATATGAGTTATTAAACTGGACGTAAAACAACAAACAATTAGTCAGTCAATCTTAAATCTTAAGCAGTCAATGATATTTTTTCCACATCGCTTTAAGCTGTTGTGAATGGTATGAAAAAGATAAAGATAATGAACAGTGATCGATCCAAAAGAAAAAAAATACAAACAATACAAATTTGTGAAGAGGGCATAAAACACGGACCCCTCGAAATTCCAGAGGTAAAAAGATCAGATACCTTAATCTAAGTCATGAAATGCCTTTTTCGTTGGGTAGTGTAGATTCAAGTTTGTTCAAATCATGACCCCCAGGAGAATTGTTGGGCCAAAATGGGCGATCACTGACAAAAAAATCTTTTGAAACTTTCTTCTCAAGAACAGCAAAGCCATGATAAATCATATATAATGACTTACTGGTCCCATTTATGGATCTTCAGGTAGTCAAGATTCAAGTTTGTTCAATTAACGACCCGGGCTAGGGAGGTGGGGGGGGGGGATTACGTGATCAATGTTTTACATATATGTAGAAGAAGGAATATATGGGAAGAATTTTAAAATATCTTTTTCTCAAGAACATAAAGGCTATGACAATTCATATTTATTACGAAGCATTCTGAGTGAGTGTGGATTCAAGTTTGTACAAATCATAAACCCGGGGGAAGAGTGGGGCCACTATTGTCGATCAAAATTTAACATAGGAATATATCGGGAAAATATTTTAATAATACTCTCTCAAGACCAGCAATGCCTTATTTAGTCATATTGATATGGATATTTCCTCAGGTAGTGTAGATTCAAGCTTTTTCAAATCAATAATCCTTGTTTCGAAAGGGGCCAATATAGGAGATCAACCTTGAACATAGGAATATGTAAGACAAAATCTGTAAAACCCTTTTAAAGTCATGGTTAGACATATAAACATATAAGCATGGAACAATCCTCAGAGAGTATAAATTCATATCTTATGCTTATAAATTAATAAATTTTGCCAATAAACTCCGAAACGGGTGCATCAGAGTTCTTACTTACTCCTCTGACAATACACTATATACAAGATGATGTCCGTAAACTATATGTAGATTTCACTCGCAAAGTAAGTGTCGTACATTGAATTCAAAGTCTACTTTTATTTTCTATAAACAGCCTTGAAATAGCAAAAGCGTGAGTACGGTGGCGTTTCCAATTGGCGGATCTAAGTTACTGGCAGTTTTCAATGAAACTGACAACAAGCAATCGTTTATTCATTTCATAAAACGTCATCGCTTTATTATTCAATCAAAACTTGATTTAAATGATATAAAAGAAATAAGTAGTGATAACCGATTAAAAAGGGAAATGTGCAAATTATTTTCGTCATTCGCCGATCTTAATATTGACGGAAGCTTCTAGAACATCAGATAGCGTCGAGCCCGAAGTTAAAAGGAAAAACAAAGCGATTATAACTGCATGAAAATAAAAAAAGAGCTTTGTTGTGAATGGTCATTGAATAATGGTAAATTATTGATAACACTATCAGTTGTGAATATATTTATATCGAAAGACTATTACATATATGTAGTAGGTTTTTCGAATAAATTTATCGGTAAAATTTGTAACTTTATCGGTAAAATTTGTATTTTCCTTACTGAGAGCATCGTGGCAACGAACCCGAAGTACAATTTGTACTTCGTAATAAACTTGCTTACATGAAAAGAGAAAATTAATGAATAAGATATTGTTCAAATATAATTAAAGCTGTAAAATTTTGTGCTTTAATCAATACATTTCAGTTTTTTTCCTGAATACAGTCTTTTGTATCAAATACTTGGCCTATTCATAGGGCTTTAAGCAGCTATTTTTACACAGGTACTTGGGTCTTGGTATATAAATATGTATGTACCGGGTACCTTATTGATATGTAAAAAAGGTAGAATAACTTTTTTTGCATATCAATAAGGTACATACATATTTATAAACCAAGACCCAAGTGCCTGTGAATTTTAACCCCCCCCCCCCAATCAATTTATCAGTAAAATGTGCAAACATGTGTATTCGCTCCTTTTATTCTTTGGCAGAAGTGAAATAAGAGCATCTGAAGTACAATATCCATAACATTACATGTATATAACAGGTTTCACAATAAACGTCAATTAAATGAAATTGCTATTTTTCAAGTTTTTACAAAAAGGGGGTGGGGGTGGGGTGGAGACGTACATTTACTTCCTGTGTGATTTTGAACAACGTATTTTTTTTCCTTCTATAAGCCTGTAGGCTGTCAGTAGAAACTACCATATATTTTCTGTCGGTAGTGTTATACATTCAATTCCCCGCGCTTGCGCGGAATTTCATCTAGTTTGTTAAATTCATGCCCATGCCACTTTCCCTGCCTCTCCCAGAGGGGGGGGGGGGGGTATAGGGTTTGACCACTAATATTTCTAAACTTCCAAAACTGAACTTATTTCCAATTTTTCTCTAGCCAAATTGCTCAGGTGAGCCACAAGGCCCATTGGTCTCTTGTTTATAATATACCATACTGTCACCTGCATGAGGAGTTATATCGCAAGAGCATGCTCTGCGTACGGACAATTTCTACAGCTATATACAGTCTACTGATATCTAAGATAAACATCAAGATTTCGCAATTTTTTTAATCGATAACTTGGCCTTCTATGCAAATACAGTCTGTCGTTAGGTCGAAAAGTTGACTGATTTTTTTAAACACAAATTATAAAGCCGATCTACATACTGATTTGTCTAGGGATTATTCTGTTTTCAAGACGAATGGCTCACAGCGGATGTGACCAAGGGATTGTTAATGCTAACTCCCCCATTGCACCTGATCCCACGACTTTTTTTCATAGCTCTGTGTTTCCTCTGCTCTATGTTTGTCTAGGGATTTAAGTTTACTTCATTCGTAATAAACTATGTCATTTTTTATGCTTTAATTACATGTTAAATAGAGAATGATACATACCCTTCTCAATATCACCTTCGGTCCTAGATCTTGCTGATATTGTTCTCGAGCTGATGTAGGGTTAGATATAGAAAAAGTTGTTTCATTAAGTTTATAACATACATATTGTTAGCAAACAGTACAAATCTACTTGAGCAAATACAAAAAAAACAATCGCTAATTAGCTTTTCATAGCAAATAGTAACAATTTAAAGTTAAGGGAATATGAACAAAAAATATATGTATTAACACGGGTTCTTTTTTAAAGGTTTAATCTACAAGGAGTGTAATATTAATCGGCATTAGCCCTGCAGATCCATATTAATTATATAGGATCCGTATGAGCCCTGGAAGCTTTTATGGCTTTTGTGACGTCAGGTATGTCGCATATGCAAAAAAATGTGTCCATTAACGAAGTATGTAATAAATTTAAAATAAAGACAGAAGATCGATCCTGTAATGAATAAAACAATGTCAAAATTATTTACATAGGATAAGTTGTATATAAATAATGTACCACTATTATTTTTTTTTTATGCTCCCGTAATCGAAGATTCGGGGGCATAAAGATTTTGCCCTTTTCGTCCGTCCGTCTGTCTAGCTGTTTGTCCGTTAAAACTTTAACCTTCCTAATACCTTTTTTGATCGGTGGAGCTATGGCTTTCATATTTCACATGTGTATTCCTTGTGACAAGATCTTTCCTTTGGTACCTTCATTTTTGACCTTGACCTTGGAGTTTTACCAACTTTTGCAATATTTTATGAGACTTTAACATTGACCCTTACTTTTGTACAGTTGGTGCTTGGACTTTCAAACTTCACGTGTATTTCTTCGGACAAGACCTTCCTTTGGATACCAACAACTTTGACCCTTTGACTTTGGAGTTTGACCTACTTAAAAAAAAACTTTAACCTTGGCCATAACTTTTGAACAGTTGGTGCTAGGGCTTTCATACTTTACATGTATATTCCTTTTGACAAGACCTTCCTTTGGATACCAACAATTTTGGCATTGACCTTGACTTTGGAGTTTGACCTACTTTTTAAAATGTTTAACCTTGGTCATAACATTCAAACGTTTGGTTCAAGGGCTTTCACATTTCGTGAACTGTGTTTCATTATAGACAAGACCTTCCCCAGGGAAACATTTGACATTGACCTTGACGTTTTAATTACTTTAAAAAAATTTAACCTTCGCCGTAACTTTTCAACGGTTGGTGCTAGGGCTTTCATATTTCACAGGTATATTTCTCTAAACAAGACCTTTCTTTGGGTACCAACATTTTTGATCTCTTGACCTGGAGTTTGACTTGAATTTGAGAAAATTAACCTTCGCCATAAGCTGCCAAACAGGGGCATCAGTGTTTCACAAACACATCTTGTTTTTTTTTTCTTTTCTTTTACTTGTGCGCTTTTTATGATTTGTTTCCGAAACAGCTATATTTTTGCGACTTTAGTTCGTGCAAACAAAAAAGTATATAAATAAATAAAATAAAAAAAAAAAATAAGAAGGGGAAGAGGAAGGAAATGAAAAATTACTTTTACGTTAGAATAGTTCTTATTCATTTCATGCTGATTTCTTCAATTTATGCTATGGACTGCTTTATCGTTTGGTAATATTTATAGACCTGACTCCATAACCCTGCTCATATCCAATAAATCGGCTGAAGTAATGTGTAAGTATAACAAATTTTAATGATAAAATTAAAATTTTTAATATTTTTTCTTTCAAAATTCAAATGTCTTTGCTAACATAGATACCTCTCTGACTGAAGAAATGATATCAGTTAACTAATTAAACTACTTTACGAAATATGATACATCAAATTCTACATTTCTCGTGTGCAAGTGTGTAAAATAATAATATTGGTCACTGGGGTTTACTGGGGTTGAAATTTGTAATCAAGTGATACAAACAAAAATGAGGTTTTCCTATGTGAAATCTAAGTTTCCAAGGTTAGGAAAGTGCATACCATGAGTCTACCATATCTACTAAAATCTACTCATATTCCTGCATTACGCAAGAAAGCTTTATTGCAATATTTATTGAATTTTTACAATATTTTTTTTTTGTCATTTGAGACTTTTAAATTCTGAAAAAAAAAAAAAAAACATTCCACAGAAAAAAAAGAAGTTATAAAGAGGAAAATCCAAAATCTTAAAAATTCAATCTTAACTATCTTTGTTTGAAAAATTAAAAAAAATATATATATATAATAAGATAGCCAGTCCCGTTTCGTATTCTGAGTTAAGTGCTATACAGTAATTTATCGTCCTCCTCTTTTGCATCTTTTTCAGGAAATTTGAAATCCTTGTCATATTTTTCACCCTCGTTTATCAGATTTTGGTCCTGTAAAACATTTCTTCCTTTGATTGTGTATGTGTCTTTTGCTAATATGACAGGTGACAAGCTTTTCTTCCTCACAAGAACACCTATTGACAAAGTTTTATTGGATTGTAAGGAAGCATTGCTTAATCGACTATCGGCCCACTTCCGATTCCATTCCTTGCGTATTTCCTGCTGAACCTAAGAAAAAGTAAATAAATAATTTAAAGTAATTGATAAAGAGGACTTTTGAGCTTGATTACTGTTCGTTATCTCCATATTTGATGTAGCAGAAAGATATAAAAGACATATATTGCGCAATAAATCCTAAAGATAGTGATAATTTTTTGTGTTCAGTAAATACTTTTTTTTTAAAAAAAATTATTTTCAGTTTCATTCCAGTTATAATTATATTTTAAATCAAAATAAGACTTTTGAAATAATACGAAAAACAAATCAATTGATCAAAAAAAAAAACAAAACAAAACAAAACAAAACATATACCATGTATGAAATCTTCATTAAATTTTAAAGGGCAAGGTTCTCTTAGGGCTTTTTTTGGCCCTGTGAATTTCTGAAAAATCAAATCTGCTTAGTTTTAGTTGAAAATGCAATAAATATCACTTGGACACTTGGTGACTGCATATCAATTGAAAATGACGTAATTTTCTCACTAGTCAATATATTATGACGTCACAAAATGGACCATTTTTCCCATATCATTTCTTCAAAAATGGCCAAAAGATGATGAAGGTTTAAATATTTCATCCAAAATGTGCAATTATAAAATAAAAGAACTGCATCTGAAGATTATAAAACATATTTTATTTTCTGGATCGAGGGGTGTGCTCATATTTTAAATCTTAGGTACTCAAATACACCTTTTTTTCTGCAAAATTCAAGAACATTGCAATTTCACACGGTCCGTTTTCCAATATCTGGACTCTTAGAGGATACTTTTTGCCAGGAAATGAAAGCACTTAGTATCTACTTTATATTTAATTATGTTGAAAATGGACATCGGTTGTTAGTCAGTTAAATGGTATATCTCCGGGGTCATTTTATGCTTAAAGTGAACCTAGCTCGTTGCTGGGTCGTTTTCTACTTGTATTTTAAATCAAAGAATTAAAAATGATGTTCAAGATCTGTATTATCAGAAACACTGTGTTCACAAGGGAGATTGCAATGAAGAAAATAAGAAAATAACTCATTTAAGGATAAAGTCTAGTTTTTTTTTCAAACTACGCGTAATCTAAATATAATATTTGACATGATTTTTGTGTGCATAAAAAGATGAATCAGATATTGTAAGAGAGGCAGTCTTTGAACAAAAGGCATTAAGGAAAGACTTTTCAGCGTTTCATGAGTTTTGGTTATTAATCCTCTAAAAATGGTTAATATGACGAAACAGACTAATATAATTATGAAAGATTATTCAATATTCAAACAAGTATAAGATTACTTACTTCTCCATTAAGAAAGCAGAAAAGTAGTGCAACAAGGAACCCCTGCGATAAAAAATTAATTCTATAATGGTAATGTTTCATGTATATAAATCAGATAGCTACCTGATTTAAGATTGCACCACTTTCTTACATACAACTAGACAATCTCTCTACTGGAATCAAAACACTCTGGATATCTATCTGAAATGAGTTGAATCCACTCTTTACAAACCACAAGACAACTACACCACTTTTTCCCATACATACGTGATACCTACTTCATATACATACAACCAAAAAAATTCCACATTCGAGTCATATACCCTGAATTCTTACCTGAAATGAATTAACTCCACTCTCAACATACAACCACACAAGTTCCACACTTGGGTCCATGCATTCTGGCATGACAACAGATATCATATAGTACACACCAAACAGAGGTATAAGAACCAGTGTGGAGCGTGCCAGTTTTCTATACAAACAAGAAACAATTGAAGATGTAATTTATTTGTGGAAAAATACCTCAGTATATAATCATATATTTATAATTTTAATTCTGATTACTGTAGAACTGAATAAAGCATTCTACGTCCGAAATCTTGCAACAACTTGAAAAGAGAATTAAAGGGAAAAACATATCGCAGGAATTTAACAGCTCAGATTTTTTTACGCATGGTTCATACCAAATAAAATCTGCATCGTTCTATTACATTCTTATAGTAGAATGAACTATAATTTGAATACATGTTTAATCACAGAAACAAAAACAAACCTTGAATTTTATATTTTGAGTTTTGATATTTATCAAATGATATTTATCAATATTTTTTTTTCTGATTCAATCTTGTTGGTGAGACAATGATCTGAATGCCTGGTAGAATAACCTACAAATGTTACATGTAACGATTGAATAACATACAAATGTTACCTGTAACGAAAGAATAACCTACAAATGTTACCTGTAACGATTGCCATCATTCACATGAGTTGCTCTCAGCTTCGTGAAAATTACTCGTATAATGTTGATGAAGAACATAAAATTAATCTGCAATAAATACTTTTTTTTGAATATCAATATGTTAAGATTTGTCGAGACATTAAACATAAATATAATGCAAAGATTTTGCTTTAAAAGCATCTTATTCTTCCATGAATTTGATCAAACAACTGGCATGAAGAACTCCAACTCTTCTGAATATTTTTGTAAAAAAATAAAAAAAAAATAAAAAAAAAAAAAAGAAAAAAGATGTGTTGAAATCAAACTTTCAACATTCCTAAATAATAAGAATCAAACTTTACCACAATGGTGGCTACAATGGGTCCCCTTATTAACCAAACAAACTTGTTCTCGGCTGTGTGAGTGCTCCAGCACCTGCAAAGATCATATATTAGTCAATATAGTGCAAAAGTAATAAAATTGCAATTGTGTATTTAAAAAAAAATGTATTGCAAATATTTCAAAAAGGAACCCAGGTCTATAATGACACTCCCTTGTTCATTTTTGGAGAGCTCTAACTTCTTTTCTTCCCAAGTGGATTGTTTTTAATCGTACATTTTTTTATGTTTTTGTACATACAAACACTATCAATTATCATAGTTCTTACTAAGTTACAAATGATAAATGAACTTGTGTTGAAAAACGTAATGGTAGTATTTGTCGTTATTTGTGAATCATGCAATCTTCAATGTTAGTTATTAACACAGATTTTATATTTTGTATCACGGGACCATCGTTAAGTGTAATAATAGAATACATAACTTCCTGAAGCCTATGAAAAGATTCCATATATGAAAGCAACATACCTTCTTCAACTTCAACAAATTATTTTATAAACTTTTAAACAATGAAGATAACATATTGACATTAGGAAACAAAGGGGTTCTTTTTCTGTTAGGAATTTGAAGTAAAATGTATGAAGCGTTAAAAATGCTCTTACATTGTATCCTCTAGAAATCTTCTGACCAGTATCCAAGGTATCACAAAAATTACTGGTAACACTTCAAAAAATAATGAATTAATTAAAAGGTTTCATGAATGGAAAGCTAAAAGCACATGGAGGCGTCATTAACTGTATGTTAACACGTTATGACAAAATGTCTTTAGTAATTCTATGGAAATGTCAGGAAGTTTTGAAGCTATTTCTTATACTCATAAATTGCTTATTCCCCGTAAAGAATTAATTCATGTGTTCTAACCAGATAACTCGACAGAACTTGCTGCTAATGAAATACGAGGTCAAAATGAGATTTGTTTAAATGATTTATGATGCTCAGGGAGAATATAAAACTGCCAAGGAATTTGTATTCAACTGATATTACCAAAACATTGCTAACGTTATGGCCTTAATCTTTTACGAAATTCACATCTGAGATAAAAAAAAAATCGTGGCCTTGCTAATTTCGCAATAAGAGTGGGCTTTATTACAAATTATGTAATTTATAATGACTTTAAACATCCAACAGTGAAATCGGTAACATCACGGAGTCTGTTATTTGATTTCCGCATTTATTTGAGCTATTGTCCATGTAAGGACATTGAAAAGTGCCCTTCTTTCTTTAAATCTGATTTCCGCAGTGAATTGTTGGCCTTCTATTTTATTAGTTTTATACTGTACTTATAATTAATTAAATGACAACAAAATTGCGGAAAACAAACAATACTTACGCCATCCTGCAAGTATGTACAGATAAAATCTTTTGCTTTTTTTGAAAGTGGACAGAAAGATGAGAATGTTGAGATATAATCCTTCTATGAAGATCCACATGTAGTTGGCCAAGATGATGTAGTTGAAGAATGTGAACACCAGTTTACAGTACCAGTTCTACTGAATACATGAGGACGTTAGCAAGATCATGAAAAATGGAAAATCGAATTTCTCTTCTTAAAACAATTTTTAAAATATTAAGTGTTCAGAATGAATGGCAGATATGATAAATTTAGGTTCTGGAAATGTTTAGAATGTTTAAACAAGAAAAACACCTATATTTAAGTAAATATAATTAAAAATCTATGCCTTTTTAAAGGAAATTTGAACTTGGCTTAAAATTAAAGAGTTGAAAAAAGGTATACAGAGGAGACTGCACTGAAGTGTGATCTGATGAAATAATACTACCAAATTAATTAGCAATGGATACTCTTTATTATGCCCCCGTAATAAAAGATTCGGGGGCATATAGTTTTTGCCCTGTCCGTCCGTCTGTCTATCCACAAAAACTTTAATATTGCCCATAACTGTTGATCGTTTGGAGCTATGGCTTTCAAATTTCACATGTGTATTCCGTGTGACAAGACCTTCCTTCGGGTGCCAACATATTTGATCTCTTGACCTTGGAGATTGACCCACTTTTGCCAAAAAATTACCCAACTTTAACCTTGGCAATCACTATTGAACAGTTGGTGCTAGGGCTCTTATTTTTCACATGCGTACGTATTCATTTTGTTCATGGGTGTAAATATTTTTGACCTTTTGACCTTGATCCCTTTTTAAAAAAACTTTAATCTTCGCCATTACTTTTGAACAGTTGGTGCTAGGGCATTTGTATTTTGCATGTGTATTTCTTATGACAAGATCTTCACCTGCATATCAATAATTCTGACCCTTTGACTTGGAGTTTGACCCACTTTAGAAAATATTAACCTTAACCATAACCTCTGAATGGTCTGTCCTTGGGCTTTCATATTTACCAGGTATATCCATTGACACACGTCCTTTCTTTGGATAACAACATTTTTGATCTCTTGACCTTGATGTTGGAGTTTGAATTGCATTTGAGAAACTTAAACCTTCGCCATAAGCTGCCATACGGGGGTATCAGTGTGTCATGATCACAAGCACATCTTCTTGATATTTATGCAGATTGTGCATTTTTTTTTTTTTTTTTTTTTTTTTTGAAAGGGAGATTCTTAGATCTTCTCAACGGATTTTTCTATATTATGCTATTATTGTGTTGCTTTATCATTAGATCCCTAATTATAAATCTGTGAACAAATAAAAATTCTTAGACGTTTACCATGCTTACATACGATTGGTATTAAATACATGCCTTTTATTATGATAGACATATTTAATACAAATTGTTAGGATTTTGTTTTAATACTTAATTTAATTATAGAATATTCCCTCTACCTGATCAATATACAGGGCACGCGGCAGGTGTGACCGGTTGACAAGGGTGCCTTAAATTCTCCATCTAGGCACCTTTATCCTACCTCTGGAATTTCAGTTGGTCCTTGTTTTATGACCTGTTCACAGATTTGTATTGTTTGTAGATTTTTTGAGATCGATCACTGTTCGTTATATTCACCTTTTTCTTTTCATTGTTCAGAAAATGTGTATCAAAAGTATCAGGAAAAGCTTTCATCATTCTATTTTTATATATTTTGTTCCTGTTATATACTAGTAGTAGTGATGGTTTCGAAATATTGAAATAAATCAATATGGAAAAAAAAAATCAGAATTCAATGACTTTACAGCTGTATAACATTTGTTATAGATCAATAATTCACCGATCCTTGTGGAGTGAGAGTCGCCTTGTTGTTTATTACGGATGAACGTCCTTTCGGTGTATGGAACACATCCTTAACGAGACAAATTATGGATCGCAGAATAAACGAAACGAATAAGTTGATATGAATCAGGTTTCTTTGGCAATGCAATCTCCTGAAAGTAACATTATAATCAACTTCTTAACACTTACCACATACAACATAGAGCAATATATAAAAATTAGTAATGAAATCCTGTTGGTGATTATTAACGTCTCCTTCTTTGATTGAAGGAATCAGTCTATTATCGAGTTGGTGGGAAATATTTCTTATTTTTAATTTCTCTCTAAATCCGTAAGGAAGAAATATTAAACTGCTGATCTCTTTATGAATTGTCATACTTATGCATTTTATTAAGAATATTGATTAATATAATCCATCTTCTCTTGTTTCCTTCTCATGCCTCATGGCATTATTATATATCTCCATATACACGTATATTCTATGAGTAGGTATGAAAAACAAGGTGTTAATATAAATTAGGCCATTCCAAGTTTTTCTATGTTTAGCGTCCGCGTGATTTTTGACACCCCATATAAGAAAAAAACATACAAAATCAGGAGTCCTGAAATCAAATGTTATGATTGAAATCACTGAATTATGTCAATTTCTCTAGAAATATTTGTCTACAATATGTCATATTAGAATATTGTAAGCAACAAATACCTTGAATAGTTTTTTTTTCTACAATAAAAGTAGATTAATGAAATCAAATCCTTTGAATGGCTGTATTTTTATTACTTTAAAGTCTGTGTTTTATTTTTTGGTTTGTGTGTTTTTTGCAAATAGGTAGGTAGGTTTTTGATAGATTGGTGGACGCTAAACAAAACACAAGAAAAAACTAGGAATGGCCTTACTAGGAAAAGTTCAAAAGGATAGTTCCATTTTACCCTTATTTTTTTACTGGAGAATATCATGTAACGTTAACAAGTAAATTATATTGATAAACACTCACTTTGTAATCGAAGAAAATATAACTGTTCAATTGTGAACAGTACATAATTGTATATTTCATGAACAAACACAAATTAAATATTAAAAACAGAAAGAACATTAATGCTCACCTGAATCCTATCAAAAAAGCAACAGCGACAAGAAGACATACCAGAGACACGCTATACCCTACGAATGAGATCGTGTCTATCACCGGAAGATGTCGCTGTATTAACAAAAAATATATAAAAAAGAAAGAATCATAATAAAACTTTTAAAATGATAACATTTTTATAGATTCAGTCATTGTTGCTACTACGTATTGATCGATAAAGAACAGAATCTTAGGCTTGCTTTAAGAGTAAAAACTAAAAAAAAAAGGTTTAATAGCATAGTCATTTATCTTGTAACAACATGAATGTGAGTACCATTAGAGTACCGTTAGTACCACGTGGATCTTCCTTAATCTGACAGTTTGTAAAGTCCGTCCATGTCTGGTTGTAGTCGGGGTGTACGTACCATTGTCCATTAGGTAAACACTCCCGTTTTGCCTTAGCTGAAGGGGAAAAAATGAAATATTATATACTATGTATTCCTTTTCCGAGAGTTCTAGACCAAAGGTTTATACTTGCAGTTTTTAACAACTTTGTCTTTTCATTTGCTTATCTTTAGTCTTATAGTTTTTAATAAATTCCTTTCTTTGTATGTTTCGTTATGAAATTGATTTTACAATAACTAACTATAGTTAAATAATATTTGGATAACGTCATTGATCTATGCATATCTTATTTTAGATCTTCAATTCAACAATTAGATGTAACGTTTTATTTATTAACAATATCCATTTTCATTCCCACGTTGATTCGGTATATCCAACTGACCACGAAATAGAAAACACCACAGAGACTGATAGTACTATTTCATATTTGAATAAGACATATATATAATAAATTAACAAATAAACTTTTTTATATGACTGCAACTTCTCTATCGTCAACTTCCTCTATCTATTTACATGTAGTAATGAGCCATATCACTTGCATATGGAGTTGATGTATCCCAGCTGATTCAACAGGCAAGAACATGTGCAAAAATTAGGCAGCCTTTTGACAAATCAGTTGATGATACAAGGATATAAAAAATCTCAATTTAAAGTCAGTTGAATGCTGACTGACGTCTGCCATACAAATTGACAATTTTTCTCACTAATTGTTAGGCCACTATTTTCACACTGAATTGTCTACGAATTTTTCTGTTTATCCGATCATGACAAGGGTGTGAACGGTCTACAGGGGATGTTGAAATAAATAAATATGCACTTTCTTCTTGGTAAAACGGATAATTTTTGTAGTAAGTGGTATTTCTAGACTACACATACGAAACTTATGTTTTCCACAAGTCTCCTGCAAGTATGCAGCAAAAAATTATTCGCAGGGAAAAACTTTCATGTTTGCAGATCATTGCCAAAACATAACAGCAATTGCTTCAAGCTTAAGCTTGCAACGAATTGGAAAGAACTCAACAGGTTCGCAGGAATACTGAATGTAATATACATATGCAAATCTGTTGTTCGAAACAATGTTGAATGAGGTTCGGAAGAAAATAGTACATAAATGGAATCCGCCAGTGAAATGCAGAATGTCCTCAGGTCAACACAATCCGCCATTTTGATTTTTTTGAATGAATTGTAGATATGTGAGTGATGTAAAAGAGAAATGTACATGTACTATTTTGAATGTGAACAAGTCTAGTTCTTCCCTGCAAGTACGTACATGTATTTTGTTATACAGAGCAACTGAAGATCATTAGATTTGGACTTTTTTTATGTTTAAAACTTGGAACATTGCTCTTTTTAAATATGTCAAATAAACTGATACAGATCTTAGCCATTTATACGTTTTAATTTATAGTGAATTCTTACATTTTTACGTTTCTTTGATGCATGACAGGTTCCTAATCAATTATATTAAATGTCAATACAGGGATTTTTTTTCACATTAATAGGTAATGGTTTTAATACAGTCATAAGCTGAAGATTAAACATTTTCTGTTTCATTTTCCCCCATTACCACTATGTCTGCCATCACTACTAGTGATTTTTTTTTTGTTTTCATATATTTTAGTAAAACTTATTTCTATGTTACATTGGACTACATAACATGTTTTGAGAGTGTTTAGTGCAGTAACAATGTACAGATAGTTTTACAAAAATAAGCAAAATGGAGAAGAAAAGGTCCATGGAATGTCTATTAACAATGAAATGATTAAAGATCTCGAGTTGGAGGAAACTCGGTAACTAAATTACAAAGTTTTGGAACCTATGCCTTAATATGAAAAATGTGTGAACATTGTCTGGAAGCGTATAGATTGTGATATTACTCTTTATACCCTTCCAGACAATATTCTCATATTCTTGGATTGTGATATTACACTTCAAGAACTTCCATCGTGTCACATGCTACATTCAAACATGTGAAATGCGTCATCTATCTAATGTGCAATATTTCTACATTCATTTCAAAAGTGTTCTAAACTAATTTTATTTACCTCTTGTGTCAAAGTTGTTAATGTAGTTTGGACAGTTCTGTTCTGCCGTAGTTCCCGCCCTTGTGTCAGGCCAGCAGACGACATTATCAAACGTCTGATTGCAGTAAAGACCTTAATTCAAAGAAACACTATTTTAAAAGGAAATTATTTTGGAATGCAATGAGGAAAAGCAGTTTGTAATACTGGTCGTGTATGATAAAGATAAAGCAAATGTTTTATTAAGGACGGATTATACAACCTTTTTTTAATCTAAAAATAATAACTTGTCATGTTCATATAAATAAAATGAATAACTTAACCGCATAGAATTTCATTTTTCGTTCAAGGTGTCACAATAATGTTTTATTAAGTGATAAAAAGTTATATAGTTTTATAAGAGTGATTGCAGAAAGATAGGTTTTTGCTGAACATCATAAGAAGTCTACAATTTCTAAAAATATTTTTTCTGATTTTGATATTTGCATCATTAACAATCAAAAAAGTCCTAATATATGTACCAATTTTATTTTTCTTGCTTTTTTGTCATCTGCCCTTTAATTTCAGGAAGTGGAAATATTTTGAAATGCACAAGGCAAAGCGTGCCTTTTTACCTGATTTTGATTGATTCATGTTGAAAATTTCCAGGAGACATGTTTCCTTTGCTTTCAGTAGAAGCCTCTGTTGCTTTTCCAAACTTAATGTCACAATGTACACCCTCTGAGATTAAATATAAAATTGTATTTGAAATTTCGTTACATTTCTTTCTTTGGATGTTCGTATTTTTGATTGTTTCTAGTTGTTTATCTTGTTACTTTGTCCCTTCAATGAAAACGCGTTATTTTTAGTTAGATCGAAAGGCTTTGGAAAAAAAGAATCGAAATAGCGGTTTGTACTACTAAGATTAATTGTTTCTTTAATCAAAACTATCTGAAAGAAATAAAACAGCAATCATTGACAGTTTCCCTTTTTGTTTATCTATATTATTGATTACAACAAATATTTCTCATATCAACATTCTGACGCCAATCCCGTCCATTAATAATCAACGAAATAAAATACACTTTGACGTAACTAAAAAAATAATCTTACACTTTTTGGTGTAAGATGTATAAAACCCTGTTTTAACATCAGTATATATAGACATAATGATATAAGAAGAAACATATCAGATGAATTTTAATCTAAACCCCCCACCCCCACCTCCCACAAACACACACACACACACACACACAAAAACATTAAAAATTAAAAAAAAAATAAGGAAATATATAAGGGGAACTTACCGGATCTTGATAACATCCTCTACCAGAAACTGTGTGCAATAATAAAAGGATAGTCCATAAAGCGACGTGACAGAATAAGACGTCCATTTTTGACCATCTGAAGTCAGTATGTCCTCTTTAAAATCATTATCACCGAAATTATCCTACTGGTAAATTCTGGAGGAAATACCGATGTCTCTGTCCTCTTATTTGTGTGTCTTAAACCATTTATATACCATGTATACGCCGGATGGGCTTAATTCCTTAGTAGAGACCTAATAATAAGCCATAATAAATTATCGAACTGCGGAGTCAAGAAATCCTTATATAATTAAATAATTATAATCACATGCGGTTCTATCTCAATGTCATTCGGATAATTCCCTATCTTAAACACGCACGATACAATGACATAATCCGATTTCAATTACACTATCTGAAATATTTGTTTGGCTATCAATACATTTTTGTTTCAGGTCTATCTACATGACAAATGGTTGTAAGCATATTTTAAAT